TATCTTGTATTATTAGATATATTATTATAAAATATGCTTTGGTTAAGGAGTTATTGATACTTCAAGTGCAAAATGATGATATAAAACCATGATAAAAATGCACTTTTAAGTACTAATCACCTATCTCACAACCTTCCCTAACAGAAGATCCAATCTTGGTTGCTCCTCCTGAATCATAAGGAAGTTTTTAGGTTATGTTTCCTAAAAGCCGATATTATAGAGAATTCATATTCAGCCATTACTCATATGTTACATGCTATACATGTTCATTTCCTCATAATAATATACATACATATATCATATATATTATCAAAGTTAGTATCTCAATGTGTAAGCGTTTGTATGACTCAATTCTTTAATATTCTTATTTATAATATTCATATGAAAGTCTATTGTTACTGTCTAATTTTTCAACTGTTACTGTCTGACTTTGAACCATTACTGTCTGACTTTAAATTGTTCTTGTCCAATTTCCAACTGTTACTGTCTGACTTTAAACCATTACTGTATGACTTTAAACTGTTACTGTTCAATTTCCAACTGTTACTATCTGACTTTGAACAATTATCATCTAACTTTCAATTGTTACTATCTGAATGCTCATCAAATTTTAACTATATCTAAAGTTCTAAAACTCCATTTTAAGTGAGATGGATCTCATTAGAAAGCTAAGACACAAGACTACCAGTTCTCTAAGGAAGGAGAACCTAGTTCTACCTTCAAGATAGTCAAAATTGCTCATCAACTAATCAGTTCTACTACCCTACATAATCAGTCACGACTTAGTTTCGGTTGGTAACCCATAACTGGAGTTCTACATCTTTAAATTAAGTAAGACTAGTTTCCTTGGTTAGCTAACATTCAAATCTATAATTTCTATGAGGAATCCAATCCTAATTCCCTCATCCTCTTATCCAAAATCTCATTGAAAGTCAAGAGGCAAGTCTGTCCAGAGTTGTCTCCCCCTCCCCTTCACACAATACTTTCATAAACTACATACCACACACATAAATTAACTTAATCTTAATAATAAGTACTTTTTCCTTAATTTATGTCTAAGAACCCTAACCTATGATTCAATATTAAGGCATCAATTCTTTATCAAATTTAAAAATGAATTTTTTTTAAGCTCATGTTTAGAATACCTTACCTGCTAAAAATTAAGATCTTGATCTTCGACCAGTTGAACATTTTCAACTCCCTCTTTTCTTTTCTTCTTGTTCAATTTCTTGGTAATCCTTCGCTTTCAAGTGTTTATCCCATCTATAAGCTCTAAATCTTGGATGAGTTCTTGAAATGTTAGTGTTTCTCTCTTGATTTTTCAAGAATGGCTATAAAACTCCCTATTTTCTCTCTTTATGGTTCCTACTGATTTTGTTTTGGTAAGGAGAGAGTATTTATACTCTATATTTTCTCTTATTTGCATTTAGGACCCCTTTTTCCTTTAAGTGTATTTTTTTATCTTCAATTAAATCCAAACCTTAATAGTACTGGGTTCATTATAATATCTCGAATTATTTCATCCAGAAATTCATATTCAAAAATTTTTGAATTCCTATTTTTTATTTAACCATATGCATGAATTTCTTCACTTTTATTTATTTATTTTTCTTAAAGTTTACATTCTCCCCTTCTAATAGAAATTTTGTCCTGAAAATTTGAGTGATGTACTTGAATTTATAAACAAGTCGGGGAATTTTTGTCTCATTTCTAATTCTCTCTCCCATGTTTCTTCCTTGATTTGTGAGATTCACCATAAGACTCTAATGATGGGAACTTTCTTATTATGAAGTTCTTTCTCGCCCCAATCGAGTATCTTTATTGGTCTTACCTTAAGTGTTAAGTCTTCTTTTACCTCCACTGGCACTTGAGGTAACATTCTCGAAGGGTCTACATCGGCTTTTCGCAGAAAAGAAACATGAAATACATTATGAACCTTAGCCAACTGTGAGGGCAAGTTTATTTCATATGCTACAGGTCCGATACGTTTTCGGATTTCAAATGGTCCAATGAACCTCAGGGCTAACTTTCCCTTCATGCTGAATCTTAGCATGTGCTTTCATAGAGCTACCTTCAGAAATACTTTATCTCTAGGACAAAATTCAAGTGGTCTTCTTCGAATATCTGTATACTTCTTCTATCTATCCTAAGCCACCTTTATTCGATCCTTAATAATCCTCACTTTTTCAGGAGTGATTTGTACTAATTCTGCCCTATATAGCTTTTTGTCCCCAACTTCTTCCCAACACAAGGGTGTCCTACACTTTTTTTCATAAAGAGCTTTAAATGGGGTCATTCCAATTGTTGTTTAATAACTGTTGTTATACGTGAATTCTACTAGTAACAGGTGGTCCTCCCAGTTTCCACCAAATTCCAAAGCACATGCCCTTAGTAAATCTTCTAGGATGTGAATAACTCTCTCAGATTGGCCATTAGTTTGCAGATGAAAGGCAGTACTGATACTCAAATTTGTTCTTAAGGATGCTATATGCTCGGCTAAAGACATGAAGTAAATCTTGGGTCTCGATTTGAAACAATTGATGTCGGGACTCCATGAAACCTTACAACTTCATTCACATAAATCTTAGCCAACTTGTCAACTAGATCTGTCATCTTTACTGGTAGGAAAAGGGCAGACTTAGTTGATTGTATATGGTTCAGTTTTGTAAATTAATTTAAGATGTTTTTTTTTTTACTTTTTACTCAAGAAAAAATTATATCATAAGTTAAAATTTTAAAATTTTATTTTTTTAATAAAGTAAAGCTTTGACTCAATTTTATAACAAATCTTGATTTAAGTCAAAATTTAAATTATATTTGGTACGAGTTTTGACTAGAATTAACTTTTGATTTAAATCAAAACTTATGACAAAATCAAGTAAAAAATTTGGGATTGAGAATGGAGTTATAGAAGTTTTTAGGGTTTAATAATGAATTACATTTTCATAAATAACATAGCAAAATTAAATATTTTAGAAGAAGATTCGAAGATTGAGCTTTCGAAGATCGAGCTTTAATTGAGCACAATAACAAGCTCATCATGTGGTTGTAGATGTCAACGGAACGGACAAGAAGACACCAAGCGATTAATAATTGAGCAGTTTAAAAAAAGGCACTGTGTGATTGCAGGAAAACATTGTAAATTTGGGGACCATTATTCTACTTTTAGGGACCTCCAGAACAATAAATCATCATAACTAAGAAAAATAAACTTCATAAAATGCAAAAATTACCCTTTATTTTCCTACTCAATTTTCTCTGGATTCAAACACAAATATTGTTCCTTCTGCTTTAATTGGTGGTTACCTATTTATTCAACACATAACAACATGTTTGGTATCTGAGAAACTACAGAAAAGAGAACGACTAAACTAAACTGAAAAAAATTCTTAAATGGTTTTAAATTATTTCAGCTACTTTCCCCCAATTTTCTAGGTAAACAAGAGGAGCTAAATTAATTCCCAGCCTAAACAATACATCAATTATTTCAGTAGAACAAAAGAAGAGATTATCACTTCTATTTGCTTTAGACCAAAATTTAATTGGCTTAAAAAAACTCCCAAATGCCTAACTGCTCTAGGTTTTTACAAGCGCTGCCTGGATTAATATACCTTGTTCGTAAGTTTATTTTTCACTTCTACTAGGCTTAGGCCCAATATTTTATTTATATAAAAAATTAATTTCCTGTACAAATCCTTTAATATTTTATATTAATTAAATATATATTATTTTAAATAAAATATAACTCAAAATATCACAAAAATAAAACTATTTTCTTTTTTAAAAACAAAAACAAGACTTATAAATTATAAATATCACATAAATCCTCAAAGTTTAAGGTTTATAATTTTTATATTTTTAATATTTTTAGATTATATATTTTTAAAATTTATCTCTCTAAAATATCATTATACTTTCTTTCACTACATAAATATTAAAAAATTTAAAAATTCTCATATTTATCAAATAATATTTTTTATAAGTATAAGTAACTAATCACCTTCAATTATCAAACACCAACTATCTTAACTTGATAGATACTGTCTACCGGCCACCGTAACTAATTAAATTAATCAAATTAAGAGAATTAAAAAATTAGCTAATTGTGAACACCATTCTAGGCCACATGTCAAACAGTTCGGTGGCTGTCATTTAATTTGGCTGTCGCTCTAAGCAAGCCAAGGACGAATCTAACTAAGCAGTTGATTTTTTGAAGGCGGTCGGCAATGAAGGCATTGACTGAGACTGAGCTGCACGTCGTTTTGTAACTTGAAAGGGATGTTTTTGCGTAATGCCAAAAGGAAATGAAAATGGAGCCTGCACCACTCATTCAATCAACCAACCAATCAATGCAATTACACCAAAACAAATTAAAAAAAAAAAAAGCAATTACTTTGGAAAGGTTCATAGTTTGGAATAGGCCAACAGTTGACAAAATTAATTATTAATTAGGACTGATCTTGTTTGCTGAGTTTGTTTTTATTTTGTCATTTGTAGCACAAATTTATTAATGGGATTGCCGTCATTTATTTTTTTAAACTTTTATTCTATGTTGTGATAATCAAATGTTTTTTTTTAAATCATAAATCAAATTAAAAAAATTAGACTGTTTAATTAGTATTTTAAGTTAGAATAAACAAATACATAAGAGACAAAAATATATTTGTTTAATTACAAATTTGTTGCTTTTGAAGTTCTTTTAATGTGAAAATAGTATTTAAAAAGAAAGTTTCAATTTTTACTTTTTGACTCTATTTGTTAAGAAAATCTGATAAAAACCATTTTTTATTAATTGGCGGAAAGGCCTCAATTTCACTCCTTTTAAATTCAGTGGATGGCTAAAGGATTTATCCATTACTTTAGTTTTAGAAATCTGAAGGAAGAAATAAGAAATAGAATATCAAAATGAGGAGAATGAGAATCCAAACATTAAACAATAGCACACAAATGAGTAAACATTATGCCTTTCGTTTTTGAAGGTTCGGACACTTGAAAAGAAACACAAATGGGCAAACAAACAGAAGCCCTTATTTCTTGAGGTTCACACAATAAATTACTAACACATAACATTACATTACCCTTATTTCTGGAAGTTCACACAACAAACACATGAAATAAGACAAATTGTTGTAGCTAATGAAACAGCTGGAATTACTTCCCACCAATGTCGAGTTGATCATCACATAGGTAACCAACCAACCTAATGCAAACATCCAGAACAAAGATCATCCAGGCATATCTTATTTGTTGATTTAATCTAACCATTTAAAGAAGCATGGAAGATAAATAGTTGCAGCCATATTACCTGCAAGAATGAATTATGAGCATGTTCTTCAAAGTCCAAAGTCCATATTAACTTATCATCTGACTCAATCATCATGACCACCTTTCATCCTCTTCCTCTTCCCCTTCCCATCCATGTATTCGGGCCCACGTTCTACAAGTGCTGGTTGGCACGGAGCAACAAGTGCTGGCTGGCACGGAGCAACAAGTGCTGGCATCCTCAGCTACTTGAGATACCTGCAAAACCAATTCAAGCATGGCATATACATTCTAACTTGTAAGTCTTATTAGTGAGGGAAACAAGAAATAAAAACACTTAAAGAGAGCCAAGAAATCATGTCACATATACAGCACCTCTGATTGAGCACTCATTGAACCATTTGATGTAGTATCAAATTTTGTGGTCAGCTTTGGACATTGACGCACCTCCAACATCCACAAACGAGGGAATATGAAATCATAACATCCATGACTGAAGTAGAGAATGCTTGGTAATTTTTCTAGAATCAGCCACTGCAGATCAGGGAGCACCATCTCCTTCTCAAGATTGGCAGGTGAAGCGTGATCACCCTGCCCAAATACTCCCAATAATTGAGAGGATTCACTTACTTTAAGTCCTTGGAGCTTTTTGAGACCTGAAGCCATGGCTATCGGGAAGAGACTCTTCAACTTGTTGCATCTTCTGATCTTAATTCGACACAAATTAGGGAAGCATGAAGATTGGAGATCACTTCCTGAAAATATCTGATCCTTTTCATCATCATTATCCTTAGCAATGATTTGCTCCAATTCCTCACAGTCTGATATCTCTAGAAATTCCAGTTGAACTAGACTAGCAATCATGCTGTTTGTGAATACATGTGTCAGTCTCTTACACTCGTTCACCTTCAAAGAAGTCAAATTGCTCGGCACGAGACCTCTCCAAATACACCTCAAGTTTGGCAATAAGTTCAAGAATGTTTCCAAACTCACGATTGAAAGTTCATGCCCACCTCTTCGATTAGTTATCAAACATCCAACTTGCATTAAATCTTGTACTCCTTCCATGTTTTCAATAGATCTTTCTTTCAAATTCATAGACCCCTACATCAAAAGAAAACAAGGGTACCGATTTGTTAGATGTAATTCATAGTACTTATTGTGCACTTTTAAAACTAAACGAGAGGCAAGAAATCATGTCAAATATACAGCACCTCTGATTGAGCACTCATTGAACCATTTGATGTGGTACCAAATATTGTGGTTAGCTTTGGGCATCCATCCACCTTCAACTTCTTCAAATGAGGGAACAAGAAATCAGAACATCCGAGACTAAAGCAGGAAATACTTGGTAATTGTACAAGCAACAACTCCTGCAGATCAGGGAGCACCATCTCCTTCTCAAGATTGGCAGGTGAAGCGTGATCACCCTGCCCAAATACTCCCAATAATTGAGAGGATTCCCTTACTTCAAGTATTTCAAGCCTTTTGAGACCGAAAGCCATGGCTATCGGGAAGAGACTCTGCAACTTGTTGCATCCTGTGATCTCAAGTCGACACAAATTAGGGAAGCATGAAGATTGGAGATCACTTCCTGAAAATATCTGATCCTTTTCATCATCATTATCCTTAGCAATGATTTGCTCCAATTCCTCACAGTCTGATATCTCTAGAAATTCCAGTTGAATTAGACTAGCAATCATGCTGTTTGTGAATACATGTGTCAGTCTCTTACACCTTTTCACCTCCAAAGTAGTCAAATTGCATGGCCCGAGACCCTTCCATAGACACCTCAAGTCAGGCACACGCAGGGAGGACAACCTCAATGTTTCCAAACTTGTAAACCCCTGCATCAAAAGAAAACAGGGGTACCAATTTGTTAGATATAATTCCTAGTAATTTTTGTGGACTTTGAAACTATTATATAATTTTGTTAAATAGATGAACCAATTATCCCCAATACCGAAATACTTATCAACAAGAAGATATAGATAGACAAGGCAACGGGTCATGAGAATATAAAATCATATTTTTTCATATTCATGATAATCTGAATACAAACTATTATTTTATATTAGTTAAATTAAAAGCAATCATTAAAAATTACACTTTAACTCAAAAAATTAATTTTTTATATTCGATTTATAATAAAAAAACAATTATGACATTTTCCAAAAATAAAAATATAAAAGAAAATAATTTGAATTTTACATATTAGTAAAATGTTTTAATAAAAATGCTTGATTATGTATCATTTAAATTATTTTTTTCATAAAAAAAAAGTGAAAACAAATTGTAAAAAAAATGAAAAAAATATTAAAAAAATATGTTTTTTGAATTCAATACAAATTTGGTGCTTTGAAGTTCTTTGAATGAGAAAAAATTGTGTTTAAAAAGAAAATTTCAATTTTTGCTTTTTAACTCTAATTGTTTAGAAAAAATAAACCAAATACGAAGCCTCAATTTCACTCCTTTTAAATTTAGTGGATGGCTAAAGGATTTGCTACCGTTTATCCATTACTTTAGTTTTAGAAATATGAAGGCAGAAATAAGAAATTACATTACAGTAATTGATGTCTAACTTCCTAAGCCAATTTAAATCATCAATTAAATTCAGTGGATGGTTAAAGAACTTATCAATTACTTTAGTTTTAGAAATTTGGAGGAAGATAGAACAAATTATCACAATGTATTGAAGCTGACAATTTAAATTAGAAAAGAAAAAAAAATGGAGAAATATAAAGGACATACTTGAAGCTGTGCCAACAAATTACCCCCTTCTTCGAGGCCATCAATGGTTAACCCTTGCAAAGAAGGCAGTTGGGCAGCGAAATCCTTTGGATCAAAAAAGCTGCAACTTGATACGGAAAAAAAAGACAATTTTCTTAGCTGAGGGAAGTCAATGATGCCATCTTTAATTTTAGACTTGACGATGATGTCATCTCCTTCTCCACTGTAAAATACTTGCTTTAAATTGACATAAAAATAAATCTCCATCTCTTCCAGGTTCTGTAGA